TTATATAGCAGGATATCTGGCATCCAGGAATAGGCTGGAACCTCGCATTACATTTTAATCTTTGTTTTGAGCCCATTGCAATTTTTCCCCTTTTTATCTGGACTGTAATTTTTAACCTTTTACCCTGGAAAATGGCAGGGACACTGAAGGGTGGGGAAGGTTTGATTCCCTTTCCACACCTCCCATCCCAATTTAAATTCCAAATTAATGACTACATTACTATATATCTGATGAAGCATGCTTCAGCTGACAAAATGTACATCTTTTTACTCGTTAGCCTGAAAAATCCTACCAGACTTCTTTTGGTTATTTGTGTAGCAATACTATTCTTATTTTTCCTTTTTTTTTTTTTTGTAAATACTAAGAAATCTCTGCCTAATGGCAGCCTGTCTTTCCATGTTTATGGGAAACATTAGGTGCAAAGGAGAGAAAGAAATATTTTTGCAGCCTTCTCATTTTTAGTGATATTATCCCTGTCACTAACCAAATTTTACTAATATGTAAAAGTCATTATGGGAAATGGCTCCTATATCAAGTCTAAATGCACCTGGAAGTCAATTTTCTCTTTGAAAATCTCACAGAAAGAGATTTCAGGAACACAAAGAACAGAGTTCTTAGCTGAACAATGAATGACTGTTTACCTTACAGATTTTTATGAATAGAGCAGCAAGTGGTTATGAAATTTGCATGCCTTAAGTAGGTTCTTTGGGAAATGGATAAGGCCTTTAGAATAAACCATGAAATGAAAAATCTGAGGATACAGCATGTAATGGGGAAAGACCTGGACATGCATCATGTCCAACTGAAGTCCATGCAGGGCATGAATGAAATTAAGGTGTATGGAATACATCACTGGAATCACTACCAATGCTAGATGCACAGAAACACTGAGAATTATAAACATAATGTGGAGGAGGCGCTGCTGGTGTGCTTGTAAATGTTTAATTTCATCTTGTGAATGTCTAACTTCACGTTGAAGTGGAAAATAGATCAGTGAGATGGCAGAGTTTGCATTGGAGACAAGTCTTTAGTAGATACTTGAAATGAACATTAGATTGCACCCACTCATCTGATGATCCTATGTTCTCCAGGGACATTCTTGCATTTAATTTGAGGGCTACTTCCTGGGGAAGTGCTGGGGAGATAGTGTAGTTGGTGTAACCTTATATCTGTGTTTGTCAACCTTGGCAACTATAAGATGTGTGAACTTCAACTTGAAGTTCAACTTCAACTTGAAGTCCACAGATCTTATTTTTGCTAAGGTTGAGAGACGCTGTCTTATATGGCACCTGTGAACTGAGGATATCATTTATTCAGTGGATAAGAATAAAAGAAACACATAAAAACAAAGGAATTGCAGAAAGTAGAAACAATGGCTTTGGCCAATGGTTGTCAAGGGTGCCAAACATCAACTATTTAAAAAGGTAGCATCTAAGGAAATTTCAAAGGCAGCTATCAAATTAATATACCATTTCTATTCATGGAGATAATATAATGCTTCCAAAGATTCCCTTGATCCCTCATCAGTTTTCTTCCCTTTTTTCTGTTTCCCTCAACTTTGCCAATAAGCCATTATCTGTTCTTATCACATATCCAAAGTACCATGAGTTTTTATTTGTTCATGATCACCTGGAGGGAGTAGTCAGTCTTCATTTCTTTTAGGACCACTAGATTAATTCTTCTTGCAATTACTCTTAGTGACTGTTTCCCAATCCCTCATTTCAAGATGTCAATCTTCTTTCTCTGCCTTTTTTTTTTCTCAGGGTCCAGCTTTCACAATTGTCAATTACCACTGCTGTAAGCATTCTGGTCTTTGTTGTCATTGAAATGTCTTTACAGTTTTCTTCTTGTTTAAGTCTGTCATTGCCATCCTCCCTAGAATTAATCTTCTCTCCACTTCACCAGGACACTGTGCTTCTTTATTCTCTTCTTCAGTTCTTTGTAATTAACTGTGAATTCACTAATATGCTGGTTGACATTATCTTTTTCTTAACATTTGGCATTAAGCCAGATTTCACTTTACTTTTTTTTTTTTACTTTCATAACAAGCTTGTCTTTGTTTTCAGTTAAGAAGATGGTGGTTGTCTGCATATTTCTAATTGCTTGTGTTTTTCAGCCACCAATTTGATTCCAGCTGTCACTCTGCCAATCCTGCTCTTCTTGCATTTGCTTTATAAATTAAGCAGCTATGGGGACAATATGTATTCTTGACATATATACTTCTTATTCTGCTTTAGGCTGCAGGTAGTCCTTAACTTAGGACTGGTCATTTAATGACTGTTTGAGGTTACGAGGACTTCAGAATGGGTACTTTATATTCCATAAGCATTTGGAGCTGTCATAAAAAAAATCACACAGCCTCCCCCCCCCCCCCCCCCCCCCCCCCCNATTTGTTGGGTGAAGTGGTCACATAGCATCTTGCTTAATTGCTTTGCTCAACTGTCAAGATTCTAAGTCCAAATGTGGTCATAGGTAGAGGACTACCTGTATGCTATTTCTCCAAACTCATTATTTAAAGTTTAGATTTTTTTTATATATAAAGAAGAGCCCCGGTAATGCAGTGATTAAGGTGCAGTATTGCAAGCAAAACTCTGCCCACAGTCTGGAGTTCTATCCTGATGGGGCTCAAAGCTGACTCAGCCTTCCAAGATTGGTAAAATGAGGACCCAGATTGTTGGGGGGCAATATGTCGACATTGTAAACTGCCCAGAGAGTGCTCTAATGCATTATGGAGTAGAATATAAATCTAAGTGCTATTGTTCTTGCTATGAAGACTCTTCAAAAGAATAAATTGAGTCTTCTGACATGTCCATCAGCCTTCCTATATTCTACATTCTAGAATTGTCTATACAATCAGAGGTCTTGCTTTATTCAGTAAACAGAACTGTTAGCATGTTAACTGCCTCTTTTCCTGTACCTTTTATCAATCTGTGCCTGGTGGTTTTCTTTTTGTCAGATGGCCTATTACCTCTTATACTTTACTTTCCAACACATTCTTTCTCAGAAAAAGTTTATGGCATTCTATAACATCATTTGTAAAAAAAATTCAGTCAAAGTCTTTCTGTTCTTCTTCTGCCTACAAAACAGTACTGTAGATTTCTTTGTGGATTACTATTATTTCCACTTTCCACTCTGTGAATTTTGATGTATTTTCTGTGAGCTATTTAAAAACATCTCATTTTTCATTCCGTGGGTAACATTCTCCTATTCGTTGACATATTCAGATGAAGTCTCTTCCCAAGCCGTTTCTTGCTTTATGTTGGCCATCTACATTTGCTGCCCAAAGCTTTCATCCTCGATTTTTTCTTCAGCTCACTGGTTAGGCTGTTCTGAAAACCTCTTGGGTCTTTTCTTTCTTAAAACGTTAGGATTTTGTTTTTTCATTTCAGTGTTCACAGTGTCTCTCATCTATTCTCATAGCTCCTCGGCTCCCCTTTCACATAAGTTAAAGGTACTGAATCTGTCTCTTTGGTTGATCTTATAGCCTGACTGTATGTTTTCCAAGTCAAATCTTGCTAGCTCTTTAAAATATATTTGATGTCAGAAATTCATAGTCTGCTTACAAATCTCTGTCTCAAAGTCTTCTGCTTGATTATATTTTTCCATCATCTGTTTCCAGTCATAAGGTCTGGTTGATTCCAGTGTTGTGTATACAATATCTGTAGAGTTTGGGTTTTATGATGTTTGAAGCAGGTGTTGGTAATAAACGAAAATTATCTTTGCAAAAAAGATTTGTTATTTTGCACATTATTTCAGCTACCCAGTCTAAATTTTCCTATACAGTACTTCCAAGTTTTTTTTTTTTAAATCTCTCTTACTTTTGTATTACTACATCCTTTTAGAATTCTTCATTGGACAACCATTAATTCCAATAGAAGTTACACAACTTTTTTATTATAGTGTAGCTGAGTACATTTGAATTTCATGGTCACTTCATTGCTTCTTACAGTCTTGTATCTTGAATAGTATAATTAAAGTGACCCATGCCAAGTCATGTAAATTCAATTTTTCCTATCACATCCAATTGACTAAGCATTATTTGTGTCTTGAGAGGATAAGATTTTCCTCAATTCATATTGCATACAGGTCATATTCCTGTTGTGTTTGTCCTTCAAGGAATTCTGCTTCAGTTACTAATTCCATTAATGCCATCATCTTCAGATGTGGCCTGAACTTTCTCTGATTTGATATGGTTTCTGGCAGGAGTATGTAGAAAAACAAACATGCACACATTTATTGGGGAGGAGGTAGTCCCCAGGATTTATTCCAGCCAGAACTGATAGACCTAGGTAAGATAGCTGGGCATTGCATAGATTTTTTTAAAAAAAATCTGATTTCTTTCCCCTCCTCTATCTAGTCTTCCTTTTGTGGAGTCATCTTAAATTCATGGGTTGTTTTCTTGACTGGTTAAATACAAGAGTTATCTCAGGTGAAAATGGAATGTGTTAGATCTTTTCTTTTAAAAGGAGTTTCAGAAGTGTGCTGGCCAGTTTCTGAATTCTTATCCAGTCCTTGCCTGCTGCTTCCCTCCACCCCAGATCCTTTGGAAATGATTTTGCATTTTGTCACGAACAACTGAAAGCTTGCTTGTAAGAACGTGGAGGAGGAAACGTTCAAATTAATCTGGACAGCCTCCTGTGGGAGAATTGAACTGATAAACACCTGTCTCGGTTTTGAATGGGAAGGCACCTTCTGAATACAAATGTATGGGTGAGATTTTTGCAACATTTCATTTTGGAAGTGGGCAAGAATCCAGTGAAGCTTTACCTATTTTCCAGATATTCTGCTAACGGTAAAATAAGCAATTTCTTTTCTTCCTAATTTCTTTTTAACAAATTGTCTGACACAGTGAGCAAAGAATTAATATAAAATTGCCTTGGCATGGCTTTGTAAATAAATTCTGCCAGAAATGGCAGCCTAAAATACTGTGCTGGAGAAGCCTAGCATTTCTCTTGGGTTGCCTTTGCATTTCCCCCCCCCCCTTTTCTTAAGGCTAGAAAATGCCGGTCCATCTTAACGAGGCTATGAAAAATAAGGTAAGTTTTAGCTTAGTCAGAAGCATAGCTTTTGAAAGTTAATAAAATGGATTAAAGAATTTAAACTCAAATCAACATGCTTTTGCAGGCCAGTCCTATTAGTATTCTTAGGTTAGCTGTGGAAGCAAGTCAAAATGCTGTAACACTAGCTTTCTTCAAGGAGTGACAGAATCCTGAAATAAATCCAGCAAATATCGCCAAGAAGGGGATTATGAGTTCAAAGAAAAAAAATCAAATAAGTGTGCGCCTAATTCCATTTTAGCAATAATTAGGAATGAGCTGATCATAGAACTGTTAGATTGATAATGCCCTGATAGGCATCATCAAGCATCAAACTTGAAAAACTGCATCCTGTTCCAGTCATTGCATTGCAGAAAAGGGGAATGTAGTGTTAGGCAAAGTTGTGAAAATAACAATTAAAATTATTACCTGTGGCCTATTAGAAATAAGGAATATAAGAATGACATATAAATCTAGCAGAATGTATAAAGTTTTGTGTTTCTCAGCCCTTAATTGAAATAAAATACTGGAAAATTCAGGACCAATAAGAGGTAGTATTTCTTTATACTGTATATTGCATAAGAAATTACAGCATTTGAAAACAGGATTTTGATTTACATAGGTAATGGGTTGCTGATAACTTTTATTGATTAATGGAATTTTTATTTAGGAATGTATTAACAAATGAATTTTATTTAGAAATGTATTAATTTGACTATATTATGTTAATTGATAGAGAGGGAAATTTTAAGAAGTATTATTTGAGCCGTATAGTTATGATGTTATTGTATTTAACTGATTACCCTATCTCCACGTTGGTTCTTAAGCTTTTTGGTGCAAAAATGGAAAAACCAATAAAATTGTTTGGAAAAAAAGAAGAAGAAATTACAGCATTTGCTATAAGAGAGAGTTTAATAGCCACCAGTTCAGGGAAGGGAGGAAGGAAGGAAAGATAAGATAGAGATGAATGAAAGACAAACAAGAAGCTCCCCCCCACCCCAAGACTGCATAGTTAAAAATCTTAGTTTCTATCTCAACCACTTTACCATATTGTGTATGAAGATAGTATTTCAACACATTATTTCTAAGGACAGCTTGGACTCATTTGGAAGATTTTGCCATCAACTTCAACATGCTTATTTATTACCTGTTTGTTGTTCATTAAACTTATAGCCCCACGTCTCTCCAAAGCTCAAGGATCATCTGCAATTTTTTCACTCTGCAAGGTGGGTTGAATCAAATCACCCAATGTACTTCTAAGGCCAAGAGTAGGCTTGAACCTGTTCAGTATCTTTAACCACAGCATCACCCCAGCTCAGATCCACTCTATCAACAGGTTGAGGTCATAAACTTTTGCAACTTTTGATTTTATTTTATTTTTTTAGTTTGATCCTAAGCATGCACACCCGACTGGGAATTGTAGACAAAGATATTTCTATATTGTGATCTCTTGAGAATTCTTTGTTTTCTCTCTGGCACTACAAATAAGGTTGTAATAGCAGAGTAAATATGAACCCGACGTGGGTAGAGCCTCAGTTACCAATTACCTGAGAAATATTTGGTGGCAACAGTAAGTCCTCCTTTGGGCTTTTTACTAGTAGCTAGCTCTAATACAATCTAGTCCTTAAAACCATAGAGCAGAGGATGAGGTTCGGTTCTGTTTTACAAATGGCATTGAATTCATTTGCAATAGATGCTTTTGTTCAGAAGATGTCAAAGCAGCAAAATCCTCTTTTCACTACATTGTAAAAAAGTTGTTCAGGGCATATAGAAGGAAAACCAGCAAACTGCTTAATTTGACTCACTGCTGAATCAAACCAATTGCATTTGTGCACATGCTGCTGCACACTTTCAGTTAGAAATAAAAGCAGTATTTGCTCAGTGAGAGAAATGAATTGTTATAATACTACGGCTTATGACCTTAATGGTTATAACTAATTAAAATGGTCATTTACTGTCTGGTTTGTCCACAGATTTCACTGGTCTGCATAACATTGTTTTTATTTCTCGTAGTATTTCATTTTAAATTAGAAGCTGAAGACTTCTGGTATGGTTCCATAGATAGACAACTCTGGATAACTGTATTATTATGTGTTCTTGCAACAAGTTTCTGAAGCAACTCTTTCACATATTTCCTTTTTAAAAAAGAAATTGTAGAATTTTTTCTCTCTGCAAGTAAAAAAGCTTGCTTCCAGGCTTTACTTTTCCCCTGACAATGTCTGTTGGGAAGCCAGATTTGATTAAGGACAAGAATAAGAACAAGAAGCAACCCACTGCTTTTGAAATCTACCCTTAGGTTGATTGGCTTCCGCATAGAGGCAGAACCAGAAACTACAAAATAGATTTCTGCTTTTTTTGGAAGGGAATACAAGCATGTTTTAAAAACAGAATGCTGTTTGATGGTTCAGGACTTTATGAAATGGCTTCAACATCACCACTTGAAATGAAAGCATGCCTCAGCTCTTCTAGATTAACTGTAATTTGTCTTTTTGATTCTAGGCAGGAGTCCAACTGGATTCTAGAGAACATCAATGCATTTACAGTATTCATGCCATGACACTTAGGGAAGGAAAAAAGTATTTACCTGCAGAGGTCAGGCTACTGGAATCTGGGCTGATGACACAGTCCTGAAAGACCAGCTGGACCTTTACTACTGTCATGAAATGGAAAAGAATCCAGATCTAAGCATGATGTCATGTGTCTGATTAACGAAACACTTAAAAGGACTTTCAGGCATATTTTTTCCTAAAAGCATTTATTAAGGTTACAGAGACGTCAGTACGGCATGGTGGAAATGCTTAGATCTGGATTCTTTTCTGTTACACATACATTCTAAGCATTTTTCCCCGCCCCTATTTTGGGGTCATGGTTCACATCTTCCAATTAACTTGGAAGATGTGATTTACTTCCGGTTTCTTTTTCCCCGGGCTTTCACTGTTGCCTGATTTAACTATAAAAATACCAGACAGTTCTGCATATTGTCAAAGCAAGAATATACAGTATTTGCAGCGTTGACATCTACCATCTAAGCTTGGAATGGGACAGCTTGCCACAACCAACTCACCACAGTTAATTCTCTGTGCCAACTCACTGCAGGACAACTCAGCGTGGGACAATTCAACAAATAAAAAGTTAAATTAATTTAGAGAGACCCATGGGCAATAATAATAAAATAAAGAAAGCCAATCCAGAAATACAAGAATTATAATAATTTTGATGAAAACATGGTAATCAGTAATAAAAATAACTGAATGAAACAATTAATACAGCATTGAATTGTCCTGTGGCGAATTGTCCCGTGATGAGTTGACCATAAAAAGTTGGCCATAGTGAGTTGGCCTAGACCAGACATGTCAAACTCGTGATGTCATGTGACGTCGCGCAACGTATTGGGACGGTTTTGCCACTGCTGGCAATGGGGTGAGTGCAGCTTCCAGATGACGTGTCCGGCCCACGGGCCAGCAGTTTGACACCCCTGGCCTAGACCCATCTAAGTTCTAATGCAACCAGTCTGCATAAGGCCACTTTGGATGGTATTATATCTAAAGTATCCATTGTGTAAAAACATCGGTATAAATCACGTTAATCATTTGAAAGAAGAGCTTAAGGTCCTTGGAACACTTCACAACACTGCTTTCATTAGATTCCTCTGTTGCTTGATCTCCAAGAAATCTATCCTTCCAATAATTCCTAAGTTTCTTAACTCTTCTCTGCAGCCAAAAGAGCCTTCCCCCATACCTTTCTTAACAGAAATAGTGAGATATTACTTAAGAAGCTGTCTCTGGGCCTGACCAATATTACAACTATGGATAATGTCCAATACACTGTTAACCAATTCTTGGAAAAGGCAGTAGCATTGTACTTCAGGAACTCTTAGAGGAAACAAATTATTTCAAAACTTTAGATTAAGAGCAGAAACTGCCATGGAGACAACCTTGATTATATTGACAATGACCTGAGGTCAGGTAATTGATGAGAGATATACAAATCTGTTTATATTTCTGGATTTCTCAATTGCTTTTGACACTATGACCGTCATGTCCTATATATTTTTGGAGAGAGCTGGGAGTTAAAAGTTCTATATTTATTATGGTTCCACTCTTTTTTTTTTTCTGTAGGCATTTTTTTTAAAGATGGCATTGGAATAATTCTGTTTGACTCACCTTATAGTCCTGAAGTCATGCATAATCCTATTTGTATTATTTAGTATTTATTTGAAGCTGCCTGGAAGATCATATCAATTGGCACCAATATGCTAATATTCAGCTGTGCTTCTCTTCTTTTCTGTAAGCTGTGCATTGTACATTTCACAAGCCTCCATGTATAGTTAGAGTCCAGGTTTGAAGAGCAAGTTGAAGATGAACTTATACAAGTAGGAATTGAGGCTGGTTTCAGTGGTAGACAAGCTGACATCAGGATTTGGAATGATAGACTTTCTTGGGATGGAATTACACTTTTCCTTAATTATCAAATTACATCTTAGGAAACCTCCTAGACCAGGGATAGGCAACCTTGGCTCTTTTATGACTCGTGGACTTCAACTCCAGAATTCCTGAGCCAGCCATGCTTGCTCAGGAATTCTGGGAGTTGAAGTCCACGAGTCATAAAAGAGCCAAGGTTGCCTACCCTTGTCCTAGACCGAGTTTTGATGCTGGACAGCCACAAAAGATCTCTGGAAAAGAGGGCTTTTATCAACTCTGGACAGCAATCTAGCTGTGTCTGTCTGCACAGCATTGCTACTGGAAGAACATAGATTAGGAGGAACTGTGGAATCCATGATTACAGAAGCTCAACCATCTGTTTTTCTTTATGAATACCTCACCAATGTATGAGAATGGTATTCTTGAAATTTCTTTCAAGAAGCCCAAAGCAATCTTTGCTACTTCGCCTTCAAAATTGATACCAGAGGTATATGAGATATTGAAAAACCAGCTCTACAATTAAACTAGCATTCCAAAAATGTTGCCCAAAATAAACCTTGGGCAAGCAGCTAAATAGTCTGAGCCAGCAATAAAAAAATATGTGTTCACCATTCACCATTAGCAATTCAACAACTCTGCTGGTCAACAAATTATCTGGCATTTTACTGACAGTTGAGATGGCAAAGCAATTAGTATCACCAGCACTCTTTCAATTATTCCTTTCATCCCAAACCCCAGAGGAGGATGTTACAGTGTTTGCTTTTGCTCATTATCTTACCCAAATGTTTAAGCAGTCAAGGAAGGTGCCCGTTGAAGTGTGACTTGACATTTACTTGTATTTTGTTTCCCGTAGTGCACCTTTTGTTCACATTTGTCTGGCCTCCTGCTTTGTGTATCGGGTTTATTTTATGGACAGTTTCCTTTTTCCCATTCCATACCCACACGAGAAACTTACACTGTTTGTTTGGCATTATCCCATCATATCATGTAACATGTTCTAGGGACCTCTTTAGTAGCCTCCTTGCCAGAATTTTTTAAATGATATTAAAATTGGGGTAAGGGGAGAGGAAGAGGAAGAGAAATTCTTTAGCTGTCTTCTCTTCCAGTTGGAAATTCTAACTGGAACTCCTTCATTATGCCTTGATACTTAGTACGCACAAGTATACAGCCGTGTCTATTCCTAACAGTGACCAGAAATGGTTATTTGTGTATGAAACTGGAACTTCTATGCCTATCCGATGGAGAATGTTCTCCCCTCCCAACTACTGTTGCTACTTATGTTCCAAATATGCTATTTTTGCCTTGTTTGTGGGAACTTATTTTTATTTGGTACTGCAAAGGCTGTACATGAGGCAGGGAGCAGGAGTCATTTTCAAACATGAGGAATCACTCCTTCTGGGTAGTAAATTATAGACATTCCAGTGAACTGCACTGAGATGTATTATTTCTATTGTACCCTTGGGTTATCTTAAAATTATTTTTATTCAATCAGTCCTGGAATTGGACTTTTCTGGAATTGATGCAGTTAGTATGATTTGGAAGTCCTTATTACTTGGCAACAAATTCCTTCAAAGGAAAAATAGCACATCGCAAATGAAGCCCATAGTTCAGTTTGGATTTTAAATGGATGTTCCTTCAAATGCTGTTTCTCTTTTCCCACCCACCTCCCTCCCACTAAGTCCCCTTCCTTCTCTTTAAATTACTTGCAGTCAAAGCAAAAAAAAAATGATGACTTTGAAATAAGGGAAGTAACAATGTGTGTCTGAATTCAGATGTGATGATTTAAAGTTCTGTTGGTTCTATTATTCCATTTCCAAAGACTATGCAGTTTTTCACAAGTATTATAGTTTGCTTTAGACTTGTGGCAATGATGTTCTTTCACCTGTAAAGGGCTATTTCTCTGGGGAGAAAACAGTGTTATTATCATCATTGTTCTTTTTAAAAAAGGAGAGGGGTAGATATTAGGATATAGTATTCATCTTTTCCATAGCAGAATCTTCCATATGAAGTTTTCCCATAGCCCTCACACAACTTTAAATAGTTCTTATATATATTTATTATCTTTGCTTCTGGCTGTGACAGTGGGACACATGGGATTGAGAGAAAATTGTTTTGCAAAATGAAGACAGTCTTCTGTTTTACGGATTTAATGGATATTTTATTGCAGTTACTGCAATCCATTCAAGCCACAAGTAATGGCATGAGAATAATTGTAAATAAGTAATTTTCTAGCTCAGGATGGACAACGTGGCATTATCTGCATTTTGTTCTTTAACCTATTTTAACTCCATGCAGTAGAGCCCACTCTATTCAGGTTTCTGTGACAAAAGATGGAGAAATCATCCCGACCACAGCTCTCTGTTAAGAGGTTAATTTTCTTCTGTTTAATTGTATCATATTCTCAGAGACTGCCTGGACAAGTCCCTGCAGTTTTCTTGGCAAGGTTCTTCAGAAGTAGCTTGCTATGGCCTCTTTTCTAGGCCTGAGAGAAGGAGTGTGACTGGCCCAAATTCATGTAATTGGCTTTGTGCCTAAGGTGCGCCTAGAACTCACAGTCTCCCAGTTTCTAGTCTGATGCCTCAACCTCTACACCAAACTGGCTCTCCTCATAAGGATTATATTAATATAAGAATAGAAAAGATCATTTAATCGCATTTACAAGGCTATTAGGGGTAATAAAGAGATAATGCTTTATTTTAGAATCCATACAATTTCAGGGCTTCTCTCTTTATTTCTTTTTTAGATGATGGACCTTATTCAAAAGGAAGCAAAGACTCAGGTGGACTAGATACTGCGTTGGTCTCAAGAAGGCAAAGTATACCAGGTAGCTGAATTTATTGCCTTATTTGTGTGCATTTGTTCAATTTGCTTTGCTAACATACAGATGGGTAAGGTTTGTTTTTTTTTTTATTTCATGGCTTACCACAAGAAGGGAAGACAAATTTTACACTTGTAGGAGTTATTTCTCTCTCTCTCTCTCTCCTCTCTCTCTCTCTCTCTCTCTCTCAATCTTTACTACAACTCTGAGATCCACCACCCAGAACAGGAGGCAAACTAGATATTCTCACTATTTTAAATTCATCATTTGGAAATTGTTTCAGTTGTAGAATTTAAGAGGAGTTTTTGTTCTTTCATGTAGAGCTCTACTTCCAGCTTTCTCTTTCTCCCCCACACCTCCCCTCTCTCCCCTCTTTCCTTCCAAAACAGGACAACTGAAGACATTTTATTGTCAGGAATGCTTGTACAATATATCACACAGAGATCTATCTTCCCTACTGTGTGATGACTCTCCTCTTAAATCATTGTCAAATTCTGATCTACAGTGGTAAACCTAAATTTGCAAAAAGGATCACAGCCTGATAAAGAGCCCGTTTGACATAAGTAATTAAGAGCATTCCCTTCATTTATGGTTTTTTTTTCAGACCATGAATTAAACATTATGTAATACAGTGCTTTAAGTAATGTATTGGTAATTTTAACTCATTAATGTTCAAGTGAAAAAATTAACATGCTAAAGAAATCAGGAATTGTATATACCATTCTAAACAATGGGACTTTGTTTTTCTCTCTGAAGTGTCCCCTTTCCCCTAACATACAGTCAGGGAAAAATTATTTGATCCCCTGCTGATTTTGTATGTTTGCCCACTGACAAAGAAATGATCAGTCTATAATTGTAATGGTAGCTTTATTTTAACAGTGAGAGACAGAATAACAACAACAAAAAATCCAGAAAAAGGCATTTCAAAAAAGTTATAAATTGATTTGCATTTTAATCAGTGAAATAAGTATTTGACCCCTCCGCAAAACATGACTTAGTACTTGGTGGCAAAACCCTTGTTGGCAATCACAGAGGTCAGACGTTTCTTGTAGTTGGCCACCAGGTTTGCATGCATCTCAGGAGGGATTTTGTCCCACTCCTCTTTGCAGATCCTTTCCAAATCTTTAAGGTTTTGAAGCTAACATTTGGCAGCTCGAATCTTCAGCTCCCTCCACAGATTTTCTATGGGATTAAGGTCTGGAGACTGGCTAGGCTACTCCAGGACCTTAATGTGCTTCTTCTTGAACCACTCCTTTGTTGCCTTGGCCATGTGCTGTGAGTCATTGTCATGCTGGAATACCTGTCCACGACCCATTTTCAATGTCCTGACTGAGAAAAGGAGGTTCTCACCCAAGATTTGACGATACACGGCCCCATCCATCGTCCCTTTGATGCGGTGAAGTTGTCCTGTCGCCTTAGCAGAAAAACACCCCCAAAGCATAATGTTTCCACCTCCATGTTTGACAGTGGGGATGGTGTTCTTGGCATCATAGGTAGCATTCCTCCTCCTCCAAACTCAGTGAGTTGAGTTGATGCCAAAGAGCTCGATGTTGGGTTTATCTGACCATAACACTTTCACCCAGTTCTCCTCTGAATCATTCATATGTTGATTGGCAAACTTCAGATGGGCCTGTACATGTGCCTTCTTGAGCAGGGAGACCTTGCAGGCACCACAGGATTTTAATCCTTCATGGCATAGTATGTTACCAATTGTTTTCTTGGTGACTATGATTCCAGTTGCCTTGAGATCATTGACAAGATCCTCCCATGTAGTTCTGGGCTGATTCCTCACAGTTCTCATGATCATTGAAACTCCACGAAAATCCCAGAACGAGGGAGATTGCATGGAACCCCAGAACGAGGGAGATTGACAGTTATTCCTTCCGCCGCGCCCTCAAGACATGGTTGTTCCAGCTTGCGGGACTGGCCTAAGGGATTTTAAAGGGGTTTTAATTACTTTTAATCAGATTAGTTTAAATATTTCTTTTTAATTAATTTTAATAGGTGTATTGTAAGTTTGTATTTTATCTAATTGTTAGCCGCCCTGAGTCCGCAAGGAGAAGGGCGGGATATAAATGTAATTAAATAAATAAATAAATAAATAAATAAATTTTGTGTTTCTTCCATTTGTGAATAATCACACCAACTGTTTTCACCTTCTCACCAAGCTGCTTGGCGATAGTCTTGTAGCCCATTCCAGCCTTGTGCAGGTCTACAATCTTGTACCTGAGATCCTTGGACAGCTCTTTGGTCTTGGCCATGGTGGAGAGTTTGGAATCTGATTCTTCTGTGGACAGGTGTCTTTTATACAGATAACAAGCTATCGTTATCTGTATGAAAGACACCTGGGAGTCAGAAATCTTGCTGATTGACAGGGGATCAGATTCTTATTTCACTAATTAAAATGCGAATCAATTTATAACTTTTTTGAAATGCATTTTTCTGGATTTTTTGTTGTTATTCTGTCTCTCACTGTTAAAATAAAGCTACCATTACAATTATAGACTGATCATTTCTTTGTCAGTGGGCAAACGTACAAAATCAGCAGGGGATCAAATAATTTTTTCCCTCACTGTACTTGGATGGTGAAAGCAGTTGAAAAATCCAATAATGGGGCAATCTTGGTACACGGTGATATTTGCTTGAGCCTCACATGGCTGAAAAATATATCAGAATTCTTTCCATTTCCTAGGAATTAAAAATTCATTATTTCTGTTCAAGGCATGCTGGGGGGCTCTTTCCATTTTGATCTCTCTGTCCCTGTGCTGATATTATCTGCATCTGATAGTAGCACTAGAACTCTCAATGGAGTGTGCAGCAAAACACAGAATATATGTGTGGTTGGGGTTTCCGTGAGGAACTAAGCAGATGAAAATGAAAGTTTCAACTAGTAATTATCTATATAATGGTAGTTACCCAGGAGCAGGAACAAAGAGTTACCTATCTATAATTAACCTGTGTGTTTAAATAAATAAATGCACTAAAGTCAATGAGTTGTGAATAGTGGTTTGCATAGACTGTGTAGAAATGTATGGATTCAGGGCACCATGTATCCTAAAGATGCTTTTTCACGAGGCAATTGGACTTTCTTGTTTTTCTTTGAAGATATTTCGCTTCTCATCCAAGAAGCTTCTTCAGCTCTAATTGGATGGTGGGGAATGGAAAGCTTCAGTCAGAGCTGAAGAAGCTTCTTGGGTGAAAAGTGAAACGTCTTCAAAGAAAAACAAGAAAGTCCAGTTGCCTCATGAATAAGCACCTTTGGAATAACTATGACCTGGATGATTGAGAATCTCCATAGACAGGGCACTATGTAATAGAAAGTGTTTCAATTTTTGATAATGCATATCATAAGGTTGAGAAGTAGCCTAAAAAAAATAGAATGGCCCAGTTAGTCTGTTCAAGTCTAGTTTTGTTCTGATTTAACATGATGTTCCCACAGTGACTATCTGAAGCCACAAGCAGAATAAGATTACAGTAACATTTTCTGACTCTTTACAGCAACAGATACTGACTGATTCTGTTGCTGCAGGGGATAAACATCAAGCCATCATAACATAAATAACCTGATTGCCTTATCCTTACTAATTTATCTAATCCCCTTTTAAAGCTATCACAAATCAGCTTCATTCTGGTGGATCTGTTGCATGTGAAACATTGCCTTTTATTTGCCCATAGATACTTCGACTTCTGACTGTCATGACTTACAACAGAAATTCCAGGATCCATTACTGTCGTAAGTCAAGGACTACCTGTACTTTGAAGCAGGAGATGAAGACAAAAACCCTTTCCTACCTTTGTTCCTCCAATTGTTGTTTGGATGTGTGATATCTCTATGGTCAAGTTCTTTGACAGATGAATTTTTCCATCCTCTTTTAAAGCCATCCAAGTTAATGTTTTTTCTCCAGATCATGGGGTAACTACCTCCACAATGTAATTATGAGGTACATAAAGAATGATTTGGTTTGATCTGTTCTGAATCTCCTTTCAGATTCACAGGATGACCTAATGTTTGAGAGAGAGACAATGTTTGTCTGTCTTTCTTTGTGACATGCATGATTTTATACATATCGGTCATTTCCTAGCATAGTTGTCTTTAAACGGTCGCAGAAGTTTCATCTTTCTATTTCAGTAGACAAGGCATTTAAGCCCCTGTTTATTTTGATTTCCCTCGGCTTCATTTTTCCCAGAACTATTATATAGTTTTTGAATGTAGACACAATAGCTTATATGGATGAATCATATTTTTATATAATCATATATATTTATGATTGTATCTTTATGGGATATTTATGTTTGCTATAAATTTATATTTGTCTAAGTACAGTTATCTTAAATAGGCAACATTGGTCGTATAGTAAGTTGCAAGTCCTAGGCCAGGGGTAGGCAACCTTGGCTCTTTTATGACTCGTGGACTTCAACGCCCAGAATTCCTGAGCCAGCATAGTTGGCTCAGGAATAAAAGAGTCATAAAAGAGCCAAAGTTGCCTTGGCCTAGTCTGTATCAACAGAGGGATAGTATCAAGATCATGTGAAGTGTCAATACTAATTTATACTGCACTGGTAAGGCCACACTTGGAATACTGCAGTTTTGGTCATCACGATACAAATAAGATGTTGAGACTCTAGAAAAAGTGCAGAAAAAAGCAACAAAGATGATTAGGGGACTAAAATATACAATGAACAGTTGTGGGAACTAAGTATGTCTAGTCTAATGAAAAAAAGGAAAAGAGGTGACATGATAGAAGTCTTCCAATATCTGAGGGGCTGTCATGGAGAAGACGGGGTTGACCTATTCTCCAAAGCTCCTGAGGGCAGGACAAGAAGTAACAGATGGAAGATTATCAAAGGGAGATCCAACCTAGAATTAAGGAGTAATTTCCTGTCACTAAGAAAAATTAATCAGTGGAACGAGTTGCCTCCAGAAGTTGTAGATGCTCCCTCACTGGAGGTTTTTAAGAGATTGGACAGCCATTTGTCTGGAATGGTATAGGGTCTCCTGCTTGAGCAGGGGGTTGGACTAGAATGGACAGCCATTTGTCTGGAATGGTATAGGGTCTCCTGCTTGAGTAGCAAGTTGGACTAGAAGTATTCTAAGGTCCCTTCCAACTCTGTTATGCTGTATTCTCAGTTTGGAGTCTAGAACATTATTTCTCAATCTCAGCAACTTTAAGATGTGTGGAGTTTAACTCCTAAAGTGCTGTCTAGAAAAAAAAAGGTGGGGGGGACAAAGAATCACATCCTGCCATATTTTGCCAGAGAGAATTTTGCCAAACTCTGGAAATGCCATATTGGGTATCATTGTACTTTAGCTCTTTCCAAAAGGAAAAAAAAAACTTGCTGCATAGCCTAAATTTCTAAACCTGGTTAGAATGATGCATGTTAAATTAGGTGTTGATTTAATTTGTGTGTTTTCAGGTTTGGATTGTGTGCTGCTGATGTTAAGCTTTTTTACAATGGAAATGTAATTGGCATTGATTTGATACCATTCTATATCCTTTAGTTGCTATAAACCCAGCCAAGGGGACGTTTTTAATGGAAATGCAAGATGCAGATAGAAATGGAGCAAGAACTCAAGTCACTGAATAATGGAAGCATGAAAGATATAACATTCCTCACTTAAAAGATAATCAGACTTTAACCTTAAGAGTCAAGGTGACAAGTACTGTAGAATAGATAACCTTTATCCCTTTCCAGTGTTATAATATGTTTCAGGGTGTTTTCCACAGCACTGTTATTACAAGTATTGGTGTGGAACAGTATTTTTTCAAATTTGTCCATGCTGAGGCTACTGGCGCTCAACTGGATTGTGTTGAAATGCTGTAAAAGTATAGTAGTATTTCATCAACCATGGTTGTACAGGTGACTCAAATGCCTGTGAAATGATAATATCAATAGAATGATGATGTAAACTCAGCTCTAAAAACCAGAGGAAGTAAGTGGCATATATTAGGGAGAGAAAATGAACATAGAGTCCCATATGGCATACTGTATCAGATGAAGCAGTATTAGAACAGTTGGTGCCAAAGCAATGATCAATAAATAAAGAAAACAAGCCAAAGAGAAAATGAAATGAGGGGGGGCAGCTGCCTTCCTTTCCCCCCTTTTTTTGTTTCAGTTCTTCAATGGCTGATCAAATAAAAGCTGTTTAAACCTATTCTATGCTGGCTGGGAAATTCAGGAAGTTGAAGTCCAAACGTTTTAAAGTTTACCAAGTTTGAAAAAAGATGGTGTAGAATATGTTAATAGAATATGATGCTTTGACAGCAGTTGATGTAATGCTGCTTGACTTTTAATCATCAGGGGTATGATAATAAATAAGTAAAGATTTTGTCTGTCCAGGCATTTCTGACTCTAGGGGGCAGTCTCAAAGGGGCTTTTTAAAGTGGCAACTGAACTTTCTTGTTTTTCTTCGAGGGCGCTCCATCACTGGAGATTTTTAAGAAGAGGCTGGACAGTCACTTGTCTGAGATGGTATAGGTCCTCCTGCTTGAGCAGGGGGCTGGACTAAAAGACCTCCAAGGTCCCTTCCAGCTCTATTCTATTCTACATTTCGCTTCTCATCCAAGAAGCTTCTTCAGCTCTGACTGGATGGTGGGGAATGGAAGGATTTATATTTGTGCTTCACTTTGAGAAGCAGACAACACAGACTCATCCCAAACAGCCTGTGCCTGCCTTCAACAGTGAAAGGACACAGGGCAGAAAACATCCTGCAGCCAAGAAGACTCCACACATTTGCCCTATTCAGGTGACCCTGAGCACACAGGTAAACTTCAAAATGGCTTCAACGACTCTCTAAAAGAATGCAAATGACCGGCTGTCTGCAAGGAATATAAATCCTTCCATTCCCCACCATCCAGTCAGAACTGAAAAAGTTTCTTGGATGAGAAGCAAAACATCTTCAAAGAAAAGAAAGTCCAGTTGCCTCCTGAAAAAGCACCTTTGGGACAGCCATGACCTGAATGACTGAGAATCTCCACAGACCACTAGGGGACATACTCACCTCCTTTTTTAGCTGAGGAAGCCAGCATTGTCCAAAGATATTTCCTGATCATGAGGTCAGCATGGCTAAAGGAGCATGAAACATTGTTATCTTCCTATCAAAGTGGTACCTATTTATCTACTTGCCTTTACATGCTTTCAAACTGTCTGGTGGGCAGGAGCTGGGGCAAGTAAGGGGAACTCTCCTCATCGAGTGGCGCTTGGGTCTCAAACCCAGGCTGTCAGTTTCCCAGCTGACAAGCTTAGCGTCTTTAACCATTGAGCCACTGTGCCTTCTCCCTTCAATAATAAATAGTCCTCACTTTTTATTCAAGGCAACTTCATCCCTTAAAAATGCATTAATCCTTTCTGTAGTCAGTGTGAACAGGTCCTATTGTTAAAGCAATGGGGGACTTGGAGACAGGCTTTGCCTGTGCCCTCTGGAAGACTAAATCCTGAAGTGCTTTTGGAAAACCTGACGACTTGGCCTTTTTCAGCAGGTCCTGGTTTTTGATCTGGCCCCTATATATATATATATTCTTTATTGTTTTGTAATGGGTCATGTCATTTGCCATACTCAGATTGGTAATCTTATTATTTATTGTTAATTTCACCCTTTTCATTTGTTACTTTTAAGCCTAATTATTCATATTTTGCAAACTATCTGGAGTTGTGATGGCAACTGAGGCAAACTAGTTTTATTAAATAAATAAAAATTAGGGAAATAAACTTGCTACTTCCAAATAGCTTGTTCATGTCCTCAGGTTTAGACTGCACAAGGTGAAAAGGATACCTAACCACATGGCTAAGCTACAGTACCTAAGGTGGATAATGGATAATCTAAACAATCTAGAAAAAGAATTCCTTTCATAACTGAAAAGGGTCCAATGGACCAGCACTACAGAATATTTTTTTAAAAAAATTTGGAATGTTTATGTTTGATCATATTGTTTACAAGTCTTCTGTCATGAATTATAATCAGCCTTCTTGTCATATCATCATCTTCGGCTCCCTGTTTGTATAACTGAAACAAGAATATTTGGAATCAGCCATGTTTCCATCACAGATTTTCCCATGCGACAAAGAAGCTCCTTTCTCTTCCTATTTTTTTTTAATTTTGCTTATTTTTCTTACTTGCTGCTTTTTATAGATACACAATATGTATGCAGTATATATATATATGCTATTTTCTTTTCAATAGAGATATTGTTATCATAAATTACTTAGCTGGATTGTTTTTAATCTATCTAGTCGTTTTAATTTTATTAATAGTATTAGTACCAAAGTCTCCAAATGTACATTGCTGTAAGTTTTCTTGAATGCTTCCTCTTCCAGAAATCAAAAGATGAGATCTAAATGCTTCAATATAAATCTAAGTGCTCCAATAATCTAAGTGCTCCAATATAAATGGTTAATAATAATAATAATAACAACAACAACAACAACAACAACAACAACAACAATAATAATAATAATAATAATAATAATAATAATAATAATAATAATAATAATAATAATAATAATAATAATAATAATAATAATAATAATAAATCCAGTGTATTGAATTGTTCTCTCTTTATATCTTCAGAAGAATTTAGAGGAGTCACAATTGTGGAGCTAATCAAAAAAGAGGGAAGCACCCTCGGATTAACTATAGCTGGTGGCACAGATAAAGATGGAAAGCCAAGGGTCTCTAATCTGAGGCCAGGAGGATTGGCAGCAAGGTAAGATATAATTACAGATGCAGAGGACTTTCTCAGTTGCAAAGCTGGAGAATGAAATGTACAGCAAGTGTAGACTAGTAAATCAGATAGTCAATGCAACATGTGCCAAATGGCACCATCAAACTTAAATGATATTTCGTTTAATTTCTTGATAGGCATGTAATGTTTACATTACATTGCATTGCATTTTGAGTTTATTGCTAGGATCCCAGCTTGGAATGACTTATTCCTTCTACCTTCCCATCTAAAACAGGTTCTGAAGATAAGATTTAAGACCGGACATCATAAAACTTTTATTTTCTCTGTTGCCATGTATGTTTGTTAAAAAAAATAATTGATGGACATTTCAGTTATTATCTAAGATTTGTGGGGGTTTTTTGCTCCACATGTTGTTTACTATAGACATCTTTCTATTAACTAGTCAGTAAATACATGGGCAGAGCTGATCCAAGACTTTTAGGTGACTGAAAAAAGCAACAATCTACCTAGGTCCTGCTTATGGGGGTTTATACAGTGTATCCTTCAATAAAGAAAACAGCCAGAGAATTTAAAACAAAAATAATAAAACTGTCTCTCTGCCACTATTACCTGAGACAATTGCCTCAAGACTATAATGTCTGTCCCTGGAAAGAACTGAGATATTTTGTTTTGTATGTTACAGGAGCGATCAGCTAAATGTTGGTGATTACATCAAGTCAGTGAATGGGATTAACTTGACAAAATTGCGACACGATGAAATTATAAGTCTATTGAAGAATGTGGGAGAAAGAGTAATATTAGAAGTGGAATATGAACTACCACTAGCTGGTTAGTATATATTTAATAAAGCTTTATGTTCAGTGTTTTAAGACTAAGTGGACCCCCCCGTCCTTTACTCCCTTTTCCTTTTGTGAAGAAACATAGGAAAGTGACTTTATCATTAAACCAGTAATCCTACTTCAGTTGGTAGTAGTTTCTCCAGATGTTCAGGATGTTCCAGCCTTGGTATCTGAGATTCCTTTACTTGAAGTCATATTTTGCCAATGATTTCCTACACAGGGTGATTACAATGGATTCTGCTTTTTTCCATGCTGTTATTTATTGGATGTTGTGGCTTATAAACATTTAACAGTGCTAAAGATTTCACAAGCATAAATGGGTATATAAAGTAGATACCAGAAGCACCAATAAATACAGAAAGTAGACCAGACATTAGATTTTATTTCAGGATTGTTCCAGCAGAAGGCTTCTTGTCTGTTTATAAAACTCCAAGCATTCTCTTTTGACCCACACATTTGAATCCATTTATGCAGCAGTCCCCAACTTTTGCGGCTTGGCAGCCTGGATGGGGGGAGGAGAGGGGAACCAAGATGCGTGAGCAGCAGGCTGGCATGCATGTGTACACCATCTGCTACTCACACAAATTGAGCTGTGGACACACATGCACACCTGCCCACCCAGTTCTGAATAGCCTTGTCCTGGTAGTGGGCCACCTGCATTCAAGTTGGACATCAAACAAAACTGTAAAATACACTATGTCATGACCCTTAGTGGATTACAATCAACTTCATAAGATCTCTGCAAGATTGTTCTAAGTTGCAAGGGGCAGAGGTTGGGGATGAGTAAGGTTAGAGAAGTAAAATAATTGTAGTGTTAGAAATGATTATGATTTTAGATAATATGCTAGATGTAGAAGCCCTGCTTAATTTTGCTCAATAGCTAATGGCCCTTTTTACTGAACTAAATATTTTTATTGCTGGTTTAAAATATTAAAGAGTCCACTTAATTTCAGCTAGTGGATTCCAAATATTATTAACATTACATAGGATTGGAGGCAGACTTTGCTTCTATCCAATTACACAACTTTTTGTGACAGTGGGAAGATTTTTGACACAGAAGAAGGATTCTGAGATAGAAAATGCAACATCTACTGCACCACCTAGTTTGGAGAGCTGGCTCCAACCCAAATAATCATACTAGACTGATCTGTCAATGAAAGAAATCTTTGTGGACTATCAGTGTGGTAGTTCATTCATTGATGCATTATTATGCATTATTGGATTTTAATTTTGAAGTAAAATAATAGACTTTCCTTGATTTTAGAGGCACAGGAGTCTTCTAGCATCTTGGAAAAGATATTCCCTTCTGGTGGGTCTTTCTTTATTTGCAACTCTAAGAATTACCTGATAGCAAGGTGAATGAACTGGCTGATCAGGATTATTGAAAGTTCTACTCTTCACATAAATGGAGAGCATCAGGTTAAGAATTCAAGCATATTTAAAGATAGGAAGATAGCATTTCTAAAATGGTGGCTTGCAGCTGCTATTTAAATATAACAATTTCTTCTCCTTTCTCCAATCTACCCAATGGGTGATTTTTTTAAAAAGCACTCTTAATTCTGCCACCAATTTATTTGATTCATATTGTGCATATATTTCACACACTATTAGGAGAAGGAGGCAGGCATTTTGTCTGGAAAGTCATAGCACAGACTGTGTGATAGGTTGCCATTTACTCATAACAGATGCAGTCTTTGTTTTCGCATTGCTTTCATAAGTGTTTAAAATTAAATGAAGTACTGAATTAAATATGGACTAAGAAACATTTACTTCAGCGCTGTTTTACACTTAATCATTTTCCCCACTTAATGATCACAATCAACAACTGTCCTCTTAGCCATGAGGATTTGAATGTATTCATTCAAAGTTGCCAGCTGGCTTATTATTAAAATATCTGAGAATCCAATAAACATCTGTGGCAAAAAGTGTTAGCTCTAGGAATCCTACTGGGCTTTGAAGCTTTGTAGAAGAAAAGGCTCTGGTTTGTAATATATTAAAACAAGCTCAGTATATACGTATGTATATGTGTATTATTAAGATTGATCAGAAGCAATTTGCAAGACCAATTCGGTAATTTTAATGCTGTTATTCAATTATGACAAGCATTATAGGCAATGATCCAGTTTATGAAACCTAGAAGGCTTGTGTGGATGACATTTTCGTATTTGACATCATCTGCAGAACTTATAAATATGCAGATTTTATAGAAGGAAAAGCATTAGCTTTTATAGAAGTGAAAAGCATTAGCTCATCCCTTTATTTCCCTTGTCTGCAGCCCCTGATAATAGTGCTGGCATCATTCCAAAAACCATTGAAGTTACCCTCTACAAAGAAGGCAATAGTTTTGGATTTGTACTACGAGGTCAGTGCACTTGTAATGAGCAACATGCTGGGCTGTTTGAAAACGGGAAAAGAAGGAAGTGGGGTGTCCAATGCCATTCTAAGGTGGCCTTCTGAAGGGCATCTTTGGGGAGATGGAAAAGTAATCTTCAGAGACTGACAGATGGGATACTACCAGGTTTCTGCATATGTTCCAGAAAATGACTGCTAGCTGCTTGCTGATTTAAAAATGTGTTCTCTTTTTTTATTAATTTGTTGGATATGTGTCTGTATCAGTTATGAATTATTTTTGCAAATTGCTTACAGGAGGAGCCCATGAAGACTGGCATAAATCCAGGCCATTAGTACTGACTTATGTTAGACCAGGTGGCCCAGCAGACAGGTAATGTTCACATAATTCCACATTGAGCAGTGAAGCTTAAAAAAATACATATTTTTCATACCACCTATAAAAAACATTCACAATAGCTTTGCATCTCTACATTTGGTCTATAGTCCATTGCTTCTTGAACATAGATTCCCTTTGAATTCTATTGCACTAGTTCTGAGTAACCAGAAAAGATGAACTATGGAAAATAGATTTGAAAAAATTAATCAGTGGTGGATCATTTAAAACCAATTGCAGGTTCATTGCAACGCAGTAGTGATGGATTGCAAGGGGTGGGAATATGTTATAAAAATGTCAGTATGGAAATAATGTGCCATCAAGTTGTTTTCGACTCATAGACACTACATCGATAGATAGTCACCCTGCAGTACAGAAAAAACTAGAATAATAATGAAAAAGTAACTCAGGAAAACAGATGTGGAAATAATAACATTTAAAAGATAATTAACCAAAATAAAGAATAAAAATATATAAGCCCTAATTTTTTTTTCACCATCTTTTTTGTGTCTAGCAAATAACAGATCAGAGAAACCTAAACATGTGCACAGGGTTTATCAAACTGTGATTCCTTAAAATGAGAAATAAATTTGTGCAACCTCAATAAAAATAAATAATAAATCACCAAATTAAAGAGCTGCTGGTGATCAGATACACCTTAGACGAGTATTTCTCAACTTCTCAGCCAAGCTGGCTGGGGAATTTTGGGCACTGAAGTCCACCCAGCTTAAAGTTGCTATGGTTGAAAACAGTGCTTAGACAGATAGCTAGACTTACAGGCCTAACTTACCTCTCAAAATTTGCTCCAGGTTTATTCCCTAGTTGCTTGGCTGAGTCTACTTCAGGCCCATTCAAGCAAAGCAGGAACATGTTTTGACAGTGAGCGTCCCTCGACAAAGCAGAAACGCTATCCAGATTTGTTCTGTACCTTATCAAAAGTTGCATCCCACACTTTGAAAGCTCCTGGACCCAATATGTGCACATCTTGGAGCAGATGTAGAAACTTTGGCAGTGTTGTCAGTAAATAAAGTCCCAAAATAAGCATTCATCTCAAGAATATTCTGACTCTGTATGTGTTCGTAATGGATGCCTTTAACATTTTCTGCAGGGAAGGGTCTTTGAAAATTGGGGACCGGCTGTTGAGTGTGGACGGGATTCCTCTTCACAGTGTGAGTCATGCTGATGCACTAAACATTCTGCGTCAGTGCAACCAGGAGGCTCTGTTCCAGATTGAGTATGATGTCTCCATAATGGGTAAGGGCTCTTGAGTTTGATTCCTTTCTGGGGACACAGATATATACGGTAGATGATGGGAAAATCAACTCCACTGTATTTCTTCTCACTTTGTGTGTGTGTGTATGTGTGTGTGTGTATGTACAAACAGCTAGATAGATAGATAGATAGATAGATAGATAGATAGATAGATAGATAGATAGACAGACAGACAGACAGACAGACAGACAGACAGACAGACAGACAGACAGACAGACAGACAGACAGACAGACAGACAGACAGACAGACAGACACCAATGAAGGAGAATATTGTAGCTCAGGGCTGAAGTGAGGTGCTCTCTGGTGCTTGGTGCTCTCTTGGTGCTCTCTGAGCTTGCTTGTTTTCTTGCAGACGTTTCATTACCCTAACTACATAACATCATCAGTGCTAGTCCCTAGCATATCACTAGGATTGCCTGGAGGCCGTACGGGTCTGGATGGGGAAGAACAGACTCAGGCTCAACCCTTCCAAGACCGAGTGGCTGTGGTTTCCGGCGCCTCGGCATAGTCAGCTGATGCCATCGTTGACTATAGGGGGCGAAACTTTGGCCCCCTCAGAGAGGGCGCGCAACTTGGGAGTCCTCCTGGATTCACGGCTGACCTTGGATGA